GATTAGGATATTTGTTTTGGGAGGCCATCTCCTCATTGCATTTTAGGCAGTGTTTTTCTGTTCATTTTGTAAGAGTGGAAGTTGTACACAATCTCATGATCTCTAGAAATAAAGGCAGTAGTTTATCATTATTAGTTAAAGTGAATTATTTCCTGGATATGTCTAATAACAAGAAGCACTACTGACCTACCCAGCCATGTTGTTGAATCCAATACCCTGGCTTCTTTCAATAAACAGCTGGATGATATTCTTGGATCAATTATTTACTAACTGCCAAAAAGGGAAGATGGGCCAAATGGCTTTCTCTTGTTTGCAGCCTTACTAATATTCTAATGTTTCCTGTGCTGTATGGGAGTTATAACAAAATTCAATCGCAGCTGTGCTCCATAGCTGTTTTTTTTTCATGCATAACATCCTTGAACAGGGGGCTGTTTTCTCTCAGACCAGCCTTAAATGCACACCGCAGGCCTGGCATTGACATCCCAAGTGGACTGAGCAGCTCCTCTGCCTGATTGCTCAGTGCAGGCTAACAGGATTTCATCAGTCACATACAGCTTTATTGGGCTGGTGGAGAGGGGATTCGAAAAATGCACAACTAGATGAGGCACTTTGAGCTTCTGTAAATCTGTTCAGGCTCCTTCTCTCTGTGTTGAGGACTGGAGGGCACCTCACATTAACCTGTTAACATCTGTCCTTCCAGGTGCACTTTATCAGGTTTTCAGAAAGAAATTAAACACCCTTCCATTTACATTTATTATATATATATGTCACCATCCTAGTAATGGATGGAAGGTTTAGAGAGGGGTGTTTTTAGTTTCAAGACTGGCAGAAAGATTTTTTTAGTGACTCCACTGGCAGCTGCTGAAATAGCCCCTCTACAGGAATGCAGTTTCATTAATGTGTTTCTTCTCTTTCTCAAGGTATTTTACAGCTTATAAATGAGTAGTCTCACTCTCTGACGTTTGTTTCTCTGTAATAACCCTGTAGGCGCTGTTTGCAGTGAACAATGAGTGATTGCTTTGTCTTAGCTCATAATCTCTGTCTTTGAAACAGTGTGGTTGTCCATTTCAAGGGAAGTGTTTTTTAATTTGTCATTTAAGAAACTGAAACCATGTGAAATAGCCATGTGTTTAAATAGTATAAATACATTATACTGCCACTTACATATTTATATTTTCATATCTTTCATAAAAAAGGGGCACCTATTGTACATGATAAATGAATCAGTAACCATGCTTAGCTTTAATTGTGCATCTTTTGAGTCAAACTTGGACATTGGTTTTTTTCTGTACAGTACTCACATTCCTGTCTCCTGATCTTCCCTGAGTGCAATATCACGGAAATTACCAGCAAGACTATAACATCAGTACAGATCCTGACAAATACTGTGAGAGACTCTTCCATCAGAATCATTATGTAACGTGCATCTCTCGTGTTTGTCCACAATGCCACAATCATAGGATACTCAGGATGTAAACTTAACTAATAATGGTTTTAGATTTGTGTTTTTTCCAAGCAGAAAACACCCAGAGAAGGTGAAAGGATAATTAGTCACTGTGCTCTCCCTGCTTCAGCTCCATTAAAGCCTGAAAATTAGATTTAACTTTGTTTTGAGGTTCCCAAGATAACATGCTTGCAGCTCAGCAGAGCTTGCTGAATAACATAAAGAAAGAGGGCTCATTTAATAAGGTGAGGAGAGCTGCAATTCTAGTCTTTGCAGGTGTCAGATTCCACCTCAGATGAACACTTAGCCTATTAATAAGCAAGGGCACCATACTGTTTTCTCTTATATCCCCCACAAACACACAAGTCTGCAACTTTATACTGTCTGACAAAGAGATCAGTTATAAATTGTTTCTTACATTGATTTTCCCATTTTCTTTATTGTATATTTTACCATTAAACCTTGGAATAATTGTCCCATTAGAAGGGGGAAATACATTATCATTAACACCGTCTTCTTATCATGCACACAAATGTACACACATACAGTACTAATGACACACAGCTCAACGCAGACCTCTGCACATCCAGAGAGAGGCGGTGCATTCAGCTCGTGTGTCGTAAAAAAAACCAGGGCTGCTCTCTGTGAAGTAAACCATATCATTATATAATTGCATTCTGATTACCCTTTAATAACTCATTTACTTCATTATTTATAAAGAAAATAAATGATAAAGTGCCATCTGGGATTCTTTACTGTTCTATTTATCATTTTAACAATGCATCTGTCCTTGAGTACACTTGTTACAAGTATATTTTGTGATTAAGAATTTAGCACCTGGGTGGACTTCATTGGTGAGTGTAATTAACTCCTCACTGAAAAAAGAGAGAGGAACCTGCTGCTGTTCTAGAAGCCCCAGCTCCTGTGTGAAGGCATCCTTGGACTCTGCACATTACACCCCATCCACACCCTGTCCTTGGTACACCTGTCAGGAACAGCTGGCAGAATATATACTGTGTGCTGTAATTATTTTATGCCATGCTCAGAGCCGTGTGATTGCGAAAGGATTGCCCCCATTCATAACTGAACTGTGATACATTTCTCTGCTCTTTATGGGAAGCACTAAATGCCACTGAAAGCTGCCTGGCTGCTGGTATACGTATAATGTTTTCAGAAAAAAAAATTAGACCAATAATAATGGCTTTGCATAGCTCCCAAGTGTATGTCAATTACATGTTCTCGCTTAGCTGTGCTGGCTAGGACCCCACAGTAGATCAGTTGAATAAGTTGTGGGGCCAGTAGGCGGCTATGTGTATAACCGAACTGCCAACATTCACACATATTTTTACAACTACTCTATATTTATAAATAGATACAGTAAAGGGAAAAAAACATGATCTCAAGAGGCGAAGACTAATACCCACAGAGTTTCTTGCTTCCCCTCTTTCTGATAGACACATATTGAAGTGTGAGTAGCTTTGTAACAGACAGAATACTTAACACAGGCAATACAACTCGAATGCATATTGTGATGTATATGTTTTTTACAGAATTACACAAAGCTGTCATTTTCTATTGAAGTGTGTTGCTTTTTTTTAGTTGTCCATGTTGTTTGAATTCTGTTAACAATTGGATTGCTCTGAAAAAAAAAAGCGAGTGCTGGTTCCTCAAAGCCCTTAGGATTCCATCCTTCTGCTTACCCACCCTTTTGTGTGAACTTCCCAGCCATACCATTTCATGCTGATACCATCTCAGAGTCCCTAAGCCTCTCTTGTCAGCATCTGAAAGAGAGTTGAGAATCTTGGCAAGTAACAGATGATGTCAGCCAACGTTCAGAACAGCATCTTCAGGATTTGTAGTATTTAAAAGTTCATGGAAGTGTGCTATTGTTGAATTCATTACAATGCTTCTAATTTCTCTCATAACACTAATTTAACATCCTGCTGCTTCTCCTCTTTCTGTGAGATGCAAAGGCTGATGTTGAGAATTTAAAGTTCACACATCATTGCAGTGCACAGGTTTGACACATGTGAATGAAGACCCCAAATCCCAAAAGGCTTGTTTGTTCTTACAGACTTGGTTTGTTGATGCTATTAGTCATGTCTATCTATCCTCTCTCTGTTGCCAATCCATTCCCTTAAAACTGTCCGCCTTCCACCTCACAAATTGTACCCCAAGACAACATTAACGTTTCTATAGTCATGGCACCATTTTCTCACAAAGTCTCTCTTAAACTTTAATACTGGGACTCAAGCTTCTCAGTCCCACCAAAATTCTCATGTCAACTTATCGTACCCACTCTCTTTCAGCCCCCAGGTAAATCCATCTGACAAAACTTTAGCATTGACAGTTTTCTTTAAATAGTCCACTCTTATCAGAAAGCTGGTTATTCCTGATGAACATGGTGGTGTCCCAAACCAATTCCAGAAGCACAATGCTACACCAGGGGTCTGCAGCTCAGTTCCACAAGGGCCTTGTCATCTGGAATTGGTTCCGACCTGAGCGGTCAATTAAACAATTGACCTAATGATTTTCCAAATTAAACATGTATAGGATTTTTCTTAAAGTCTTTTACAGTTGATTACACAGGATATTCATGTCATTAAAGGCATAGTTACCTATAAATCACATGGAAGCCAGGTTAGAAGTATTACAGTTATACAGCTAATTAAATAATTAGACCAACTATGCAACTGAGAATATCAGTGGGAACATAAGACACTAGGTCTCTCAGGAAATGAGTTGCAGACCCCCGGACTACACTCCACCCAGGGTGCCAGTTGATTGCTGCACATAAGCACATAATCTAGAGACTCCATTCAACCTAATAAATGACACCACATAATAATATACATTGTTTAAAAATACCTCCATTGCTTTTATACTACCCCAAAGGTAAGCAGAGATACACACTTCCTTTTCAAACACATCTATTAAGGATTAAATAGGTGCATTTTACAGGTTGAAGGCAAACAAGTGGATGCAGAATAAGGCAGGGATTCAAAACTGAATATGATATTAAGAAGATGAGAACACCTCTTCCATCAATACCAGGAAAGAGACTTCTATATACCTCCTTTTCCCAGGAACCTCAACACATCTCTTTTGCTTGTATTTACAGGGGCTGTTAAGGCACTATGAAGTTCAATAATACCCTTAGAAAGCATAAACTAAATCAAATATTTTTTTTAACTAGAAGATCTCATACTGTTATTCGCTCGAGCAATTCTTTCTAACCCACTGACCTTATGACCATTGCCTGTCATCTCTGCCTTAGCAGGCGGATGACATTAAGAGCATGTGGGCACCACAGCAGCTATCTGTAAATTATGATACACACTTGTCATGACTGGTGATACAGACAAGCGGTTTTATAAAAAAAAAGATGAACATGGGCAGTAATGTATCTGTCAAACAATCAGAATGTTGTGTATTCTATTGCATATGGCTCAGCAATGTTATCTATTCAGTCTGTGTGATAAAATGCACAGTGCCTAATATCATCATAAATATAGTTATATTATGAATAACCATATTAGAACATCTTGAACTACTTTTTTTCATGGGCAGAACATTCCCATGGTGTCAACTATGTGCCCACATAGGGCCCAAGTGTGCATTTTTGCTGGGAGATACAGTATTAGGTTTATAGTCACCCAGTTAAAAAAAGCAGTCCATAAAAAATAAAATAGTATGTCATAATAAATATACATTAGGTGGTTTCAAAGGCAGCAGAGAAATATCTTTTGGGAACATTTAAAAAAAAGAATGAGATTTATATCACTAATACAGATTTAGAAAAAAAAACATCAATAACAACAGCAAAACAGACTATTAATTTTACAGCCTTTATGAAAATAAATATACATTAATAAATTAATTAACAGTTCAGGAAAAAAAGGCTATGGCTTAAGAAAACATTTGGTAAATTTTAAACATAGGAAAAGATTATATCTGTGGTGCTTATAATAAATCTTGAAGGATTTATTTCAAAATGCAATCTTGAAATACCTATAAATGCTCAAGGGAATAACAGTATTATAATAGAAGTGCCTCTGAAATTCTAAACATTTAAAGACCTACCCCATGACTCATTTAAAGTGTATGTGCATTTTCCAGTCCGTTAAAATGTAACTTTTATCAGTGGGAGGTTGCTTTCCAGATCTCTTCTAAAGGCAAAGTCCTGTCCAAACCAACATGTTAAGGTCAGTCTTCAATGACGAGCCAAGAGTATTTATACAATATCACCTATGACTGGTGGTATTTGATTGGATTCCCATATGAAAAGTGAGCAGCAGTTATGTGACGTTGGTAAAAAACTTTCAGATCGTGAGATGTAAAAGGCACTTACACCTTTTTGAAGATAAAAATAATCACTGCTGTGAGGCATTTGAGGAATCAGGTGATTGACATTGACTTAACAAACCAGACATCAGATTTCACAGGTGGCACATTAGAGCCTGACTGAGGGAGAATCTATTGAGAAACAGTTGGTATTGTTTACTGATGGTATTCCACAGTCTGACCCTCTGAGTTTCAATTCGAAACAATCATTTTAGTATGTCCGCCCCTAGGCACGGTGTATTTCAAATGTCTGCCTGATACTGTGTTGATCGAGTGTTATCTCCCTGTCTGCGCATGTGGGACTACAGAAGACAGCCCATTTTTTATTGTTTGGCTTATCTTTTTGTGTTTGATTTTGCTCTGTAAGCAATATCGACGCACATGCCCCCCTTCGCAAAGCCAAAGAAAAACAAGAAAAAGTATTCAAAAACAAAAACAAGACCAAATCAATTTTTGACTTTTTTTTTACAGACGTGAAACACAAACACCCAAGTGACCTCACGATACAATCTCAGCCGACGCGAGGTCATAAATAAGAATAAAAGCCTGGTTCAAAAGTTTTTCTTTTTTTTTCTTCTTCTTTTTTTCGTATGTCAAGTAACTTTCAAACACATTACAGCACCTTATTATAGCTGTATTTGTTTCTAAGACCTTTGGGATTATCTGAGCCACTGAGCTGCGAAATTCTATCAGCCTTTCTAAAATAGGCTCCAGCCCAGGCCTTGCCTTCGCACAGGGGAACAATTAGGGTGACCTTGTTCAGGCTGGAGGACGGTTATCTTTGGGCTGAGCTGGAACCACGGATGTCAAAAAATCAGTGACATCTTTCTTCTTGGCAATGTTGACCTTCACATTACAAGGACAAACAGCACCCCGCCTGCAATGGAGGAGAGGAGATAAGTGCTCCATGCAATGCCATAATCAGAATGACACCTTATTTTCCTTCTTTTGTCTTTTTTTCTCCCTCTGCCCTGCAGATCCTCTCCACCTCTCTGCCCAGATGTTTAATTTGGAAGAGCTTTACTGCAAGTATCTTTCTTTCGGTTTATCTGGCCTGGGTCTTCGGTTATCAGGCGGACAGACAGTGCAATTGAAGTACGGCTTTCACTTTGGAGCTCAAAAACAACTTGTGCCTAAAATATCCCAAGGTTTTGCTCAATTACATTTGCAATTAGCCAAACTGACTAGCAATTAATTTGAAGTACAATTACTAATCAAGTGAAAAAAATGTTGGTAATTGCAGATGAAATGGATGTATTTATTTGTTGGAGTGGTGTGGATGATTAGAACTGTCATTAGATACAAGCCAGATAATGTTGCTGGATGCTTTTTATGAAGGATCCTGATTCTTTCTGACTGTGATTTAACTCCACAATAAACTGCCTAGATTATTGGAGCAGTAAAACCAGCTAAAATAATATGCCTCTGTTAGTACAAGGTAACATTAAAACACTAAGCTCTTTATCTGTGTTGGATATGAATTAAGCTCTGCTAACACCACATCTAGGATGGACACAAGTCATAGGCAGAGAGTAGGTTAGGAAGGGCTGTTCTGCAGGACTATTGATTCACATGAACAAGGAAGATCAAGTGCACATACACAACATTTAATACCTTTTCAGGATTCGATCCATCTCTTCATTTTCTAACCATTTTATCCAATAGAGAAACTAGGGCAGGAGCTTGTCTCGGCAAGCCCTTTTCAGGATTCCAAAACTTAATTCAAATGTAATGTAATCAGATTTAATTGTTTTCTAAACATTTTCATTCTAGGGAAAATTCTCAATGATCTGTAGCCTTAAATATGCACTTGGCATTCCTGAATGGACCAAACCCACGACGCAGAACATACCTTTGCAACCTCTAATCCAGGCACAACCAAACGTATTAATTAACCTTTTAGAAAAAATACACTTTCTTAATAAAGATATCTCTGTACACCTGATTAGATGGGATGTGATAAAGTAATAAAACTATTATTATTTATTCTGTGTTGTTGCCTGACTGCTGTATTAGATATTGCATTGGCAGATGTATAAAGTATGAACTCTTTTCACCTGCAGGAAGGTGACTGCTTGGCTGCTTTATTCATTCAATTTGTTTGTCTGTTTGTTCGCCAGCCCTCACAGTTTCAGCGTCTCCTGTGGATTCGCTCCTGGCTGTCGGGGACCAGCAGAGCACTGCAGGCTTTCTCCAGCAGACTTCTGCATTTCATAGTGTATTTGGAGAATGAGTCTCCTGCTGTGTAACATAAAGGTGCATGGTTGAGATTAAACAAACTGGAGGCTTCTACAGCAACATGGTCACTCTTCACATAAGACATGGCTTGTCAGGATCTTACCACAGCAGTGATATACAGCTCCTGACTGCTGGTGCATGCCTGTAATTCCTGTCATTTGATTGAAGTGAGGTACCAGCCCAAGAGACCTCAGATTAA